GAAAACCGTGATAATTATGATTTACAACATAAATAAAAAGTTGGTGTTCTAATATTATATGGAAAAAATAATATTTGATCGACCCTTTGTAACTAACAAAATAATGGACCATTATCATTAAAAAAAATTAAAAAAAGCCATATAATTAATTGTGGTCAATATCGTAATAAAACTCAACAATTGACGTGACGTGAAAATTGTTCAAATAATCACGATTGATTAGGTGAGTCCTCCTCAATTTCATACTTTGCATTAAATATCAACTTCATTTCAAACCTAAAATTAATCGAACAAGTTCCGTAGGTCCCCGGTGCTTTTGTGTATACTTTTTATGAAAATGAAATACTCACTTAATTTTTTCAAAAATAATTTGTATTTTATTATGTTAAAATTCATACTCTCTTAAGAGCATAGTTCTCATCTTCAAAATATTCTTTAATGACCTTTTCAGTGTGAAAGTCAGAATTTTATTGAATATAATCATTAGAGATTATAAATTTTCTCACATGAGTTTATTTTCTAATTATATTTTTGTTATATTTGAACCACTTTTATTTTATAATAACATATATTTTAATTGCACTAAAGTGTCTATTTTTTATTTATTATTACATTTATTCTTTTAATTATTTTCATTATATTTATTAGATTTGTAATAAGAAAATTCTGAAGGTGAATGATTCGAAAATGAAGCTGAAATTGTATTGATTCAAGCTATAAAAAATGAACAATTATTGCTCTATAAATACAAAGAAATGGAATCATTTCTCTAACAAACTTCATAACTAATTTACATGAAGAATAGATGCAAAACTGAATCAACTAATTCCCTTCTAGATCCTTCCTATGTTGATGCTATGTGGCTCATCCACGTTAGCTTCCTTGCTGGTAGTCTTCCTGCTGATCATCCGGTAAGTTTAACATCCGATAATTTCAATATCATCCGGTAAGGTGCTGATCATTCGGTAATTTCAATAGCCCCCCGCAAGATGGAGAATAAATGTTCATTACTCCCATCTTGGATAAGCAAGAGTAAAAACTTTGTAAATTCAAAGATTTATAAAAATGTCAACGATTTGTGATGCACTAGGAACATGTTGTGTGATAATATTACCTTCTTGTATCTTGTCTTGAATCAAATGGCAATCAAGTTCAATGTGTTTTGTTCTTTCATGGAACACCAGATTTGTGGCAATATGAATGGCTGCCTTATTGTTACAATTCAAGACAGCTAGTTAGGGATACTCAAAATTTAAGTCTGTCAGCAAATATCCAAGCCAAGTGAGTTCGCAACAAGGGTTTGCCATTGCTCTGTACTCGGCTTCCGCTGAAGATCTGGACATTACATGTTGTTTCTTTGACTTCCATGATATCAAAGACTCTTTAAGGAACACGCAATAACCAGTTACTGATCTTCTAGTATCCACACACGCTCCCCAATTCGAATCACAATAGTCTTCTAGTTGTATTTTTGATCTTGTAGAATATAAGAGTCCTTGACTAGGTACCCGTTTTATGTATCTCATTATCTTATGAGCAGCATGTAAATGTGGGATTCTAGGATTCCCCATGAATTGACTCAATAACTGAACTGAATATGTAAGATCAGGCCTGGTGATGGTCAAATACAGCAACCTTCCTACTAGCCTTCTATAGAGCGATGAATTAGACAATAGTTCTCCTTCTTCTTTGCTGAGCATCATATTCTAATCAAGGGGTATCCTAGCAGGAGCTGAACTAAAGCATACTTCCTCTGGCATATGTAAATTCCTTCCTTGGAGCTTGCCACTTCAATGCCTAGGAAGTACTTCAATTTTCCTAGATCTTTGATTTTGAACTTCTCATGTAGGGAAACTTTGAGCTTATCTATGGAGTTAATGCAGTTGCCAGCAACTATTATATCATCCACATATATTAGGATGGCAGTGAAGTTATTATCAGTGAGTTTAATAAATAGACTATAGTCTGCCTTTGATTGGGTATATCATTGCTCGACAATGAAGTTGGAAAGTTTGGAATACCATTGGCGTGAGCCTTGCTTTAATCCATACAAACTTTTGCGTAGCTTGCACACGTTACTTCCACTGTCATTTGGATAGCCTGGAGGCAGTTCTATATAAACATCTTCATCCAAGTCTCCGTGTAAAAAAAACATTATTTATATCAAATTGGTGTAAATTCCAACCCTTGATTGCTGCTACTGCTAACAGTGACCTTATGGTGGTTAATTTTTCTACAGGGGAAAATGTTTTGTGACAGTTGAGCCCCTCCTGTTGAGTGTATCCTTTTGCCACCAGATGCGCTTTGTATCTTTCAACACTCCCATTGGCATTAAACTTCACCTTATATACCCACTTACATCCTATAACCTTTTTAACAGTTGGTAAATTGGTCAGCACCCAAGTATCATTGAGCTCAAGTGCCTCAATCTCAACTCTCATGGTAGCACGCCACTTAGGTGAAGTGATGGCTTCTTGATAAGTTCTAGGTTCAGAGTGATTGGTTATTGAAATTGCAAAAGCATGATGAGATGTAGATAAGTTGTCATAGGAAATGCTATCTTTAAGAGGGAAAATACTGCATGTTATGCCATTTCCTTTCTTGTTGTTGAACTCTTGAAAAGGGGGAGATGAAGAGGCATGTTGGCATATGAAGTCTTCCAAATATTGGGGAACCTTGCGAATTATGCTTGACCTGCGAGGCAAGTGACTTGCAATGGGAGGATTGGGTTCCAGAGTATCAGTGATAAGTTCAGGGATATCAGTATTGGTTTCTTTATGGAAATTGAGAGATTGGATATATGGTGAATCATTTTGAACGTTATGCTCATAATGCTGATTGTCATGAGTAACGGAATTTATAGGCTGCTGAGTGTCATCAAGCACAGAAGTTATATGATCATTAGAGATAATAAGATTTTATGTGAAACTTAAATGATTGAAATCAGCTGATGGAGTAGAGTTGTTGGATCTGATACTTTTAAATGGAAAGATATCTTCATGGGAAATCACATTTCTTGAAACAAAAACCTTCTTGGTTTTTAAATCCATCAATCTGTAACCCTTTTACTCCAAAAGGATAACCAATGAAGATAGATTCCCCAGATCTAGGGTCGAACTTTTGTCTTCCACTAAGTAGAGTAGTGGCAAAAGTAAGGCATCCAAAAACTCTTAAATGACTGTAGTTTGGCCTGATCTGAAACTGAATTTCAAAAGGAGTTTTGTGATTTAAATTTGGCGTTGGTGTTCTATTTACGAGGTATATGACTGTCAAGTCGAAATTATTCTAGTATTTTAAAGAAAGACCACTTTGAAACTTCAATGCTCTTGCCACATTTAAGATGTGTTGATGTTTCCTTTCCACCACTGCATTTTGTTCCGGCGTTTCAACACAAGTTCTTTGGTGCATTATCCCTCTTTTTAAGTAAAAGTCTATCATGTTAAACTTTCCACCATTTTCTATACCGATAGTTTTGATTTTTGCCTTAAATTTAGTTTCAACCAAAGTGTAAAAGTTTTGTAAAGTTGTGGTAGCTTCAAACTTGAACTTTAGCATGTAAATCCATGTGTATCTACTAAAGTCATCAACAATAGAAAGAAAGTATTTAGAACCATCCCTGCTGATTTCATTACAAGGTCCCCAAATGTCATAATGAATTAATTCAAAACATTCTACTGATCTGTGATGAATAATACCAAATGGTAGTCTATGTTGTTTTGCTAAAGGACAGATAGGACACTGGTTAGTACTAGATGATGTAGGGATGTGAAGATTTTCATCTGGACTAAAGTTAGGATAAGAAGAGTGG